GTGCCACTCGGCCGGCCCAGGTTGTTTTATTTTCAAGAACAATAATAGCAGTTGCGATTTACTGAGCATCTATTTGTACCAGGCACCATGTTCGCACTTTACATGAACGCATTTTCTCATTTGATGCTCACAAACAGCCCTAAAGGGTGGGTATTTATTATTATCTTCATTTTATATGTGGCTTAGAAATACCCCTGACCTCACCTCAGGATGGTTAACACAAATGTATCAGACATTTAGCAATATCCCAAATCTCCAAGCTCTGATCAGCCCACCACATGCTTAAGTAGCAGTAAATCCAGGTTTTCAATGAGGTCCCTTCCCTAATTCTCAGAAGTAACTGGACTACCACTGTCATTCTCCTGCTCAGAATGGCTGACCTTTGTCGAAGTCTGTGCTGCTCTCTTTTAGACTGCTGAACTTTTCATCTGTTCATGCCAGAGCTGGCTCCCCTGTCTATGCTGTGCCAACTCTTGGAAGGCTGTTTCCACAAAGATCCTCAAACATTCAGGGGATTCAGAATCCACTACCCAGAAACAAAAATCCTCTAGGGGGCAGTGTAGCTTAACTCCTTAGGTCAACCTACCATCGCACCTCTGCCCCCTTCTGTTACACATACTCCTTCCTATAAGGAAGAAGCTTAAGGCTCAGAGAAGTTAAAAAAAAACTTGGTCAAAATCACCAGCTAGTCAGCAGCAAATTCAATCTAAGTCTGTCTGAACAATGACTGCTTTTCACTCTTTTGGGCTATCTTCTTGACCATTCATTAGATTAAAGGGAAAAGGACGTAGCAAGTGAATACCATAGTAATTAAATACATACGGCGCACCTCCTCTGCCAGGCACCCATCTATGAAGTGAACAAAAGAGAGAAGACAGCCTTTGGGAGAAGTGATCTTTGGGAAGAGTTAGATCTAAATTAAAGCAAAAAAGAGACTTTGCTGATGATAGCCAGTGAGTTCCATGCATTATAACCCATTCAATCACTCGTACATTCAGCAAATATTCATGCTTCCTGTGGCCTGGCACTGTGATAGGCACTGAAATGGAGCGGGAAACAAGCAGACATAAACACTGTCTGCAGGTTTACAATCTAGTGTGTGTGTGGAGGGGAGGGAGGGTTAAATAAACAGACACTTAAATGAATGGTTACAGAATGTGGTAAATGCTATGAAGGAAGACAGTTTGCTAAAAGGAGAAAAGCAAGGAACCTACTTGCTCTTCAGGAGAAGAACCCTGAAGATGGAGAAGGAGCTGGGCAGGTGAGTATGTTCCAGACAGAGAACAGCAAGAAAAAAGACCCTGACGTAAGAAAAAGATTAGCATTCGAAGGACTGAAGGAAGGCTAACATAGCTGGGGGCCCCTCTGCCAGGACTGGATGATATGATCTCTTAATTCCACTTAGTACAAATGCCAGGGAGTTCCAGGAAGAGCTGACAAATTGAGCAAGGACACAAAGGCAGGAAAGCTGTGTATAATGAGGGATGGTGGAAGGTGGTGGTGACATGTTTGGGGAGCTAGCAAGGACCTCTGTGCTCTTAGGAATAGCAAGTGATAAGTGGTTGGACTTAGAAGCCAGCCTGAAGATTTTTATCCTTTTTTTTTTTTTAAAGATTTTTATTGGGGAATTGGGGGAAGGGGAACAGACAAGTTGAGTTGCTATCCTTTTTTTCTTCAGTCTAGTTGTGGATTTTTATTCTATTTGAAGCAAAAAGGGGCTGAACATTTTTAAGTAATGGAGATAAATTTAGGAAGATAAATCTCAGGGAGTGAGTGGGATGACCTAGAAGCAGGGATACCTGCTGGGTATCCATTAAGACACAGCAACAAAGCCTCTCTCCCAGAAAGCTGCTCAAGAAACAATGCTCCTGGGGTCCAAGGGAGAGGGCCTGAGAGGGCGTGGTGACAGTTATGGGGGCTAATCAGTCAAAAGGAGGTTCTGGAGTACGAACATTGCTCCCTCACCTGGCCGCTACTCTCACCCTTCACAGTCTCCTCAGACTTTTAGAG